ACGTGGACCAATAAATTCCTGACGTTCGAATCAAGTAATCAATAATGACTTGTAACGGCAAATGGATCGCATAAATCGCGCTGATGATGTCGTCTACCCTGACGAGGAAACGTCTGCAACCAAATCAACCAGCTCGGAGAACACCCGCATACCCTCATCCGCATCCCAATGTTCTAACGGATTTCTGAGGATATAATATATTTCAATGAATGCTACTAGTGAATATAGAACTCACATGAATAACGAAACCTTTAAGATTCGGCGTAAATTGCAGATCAATAGGAAGAAATTTTACACGGCAGCGGTAAAATATCTTGTGCCTCTCAAATTCCAAATTACTCTATGTACCCCTGCTAACAAATTCCCGCCACCCTCTATTACTGCCATAAACAGCCATCACCATTACAAAATATAATTCATAATTTCATAGAAGAGAAATATCTCTTTGTTTCGTAGTTGACTTAACTGGATTCGAATTGCCTTAGTGTGACTTTTTAAAGCTACTTATGTCGGAAAACCGGAGGCTACCGGGATTTAAAAAGCTCTGATACAAGGTAGTTTCCATACGACTCCAAATTGTCTAGTACTTGGCAGCTCTCTTCGGTTGAGGGTTATTTTTGTGTACCCGCTCACTGTGACCAGGGTTGATCCAAGCAGTAGGAAAAGAGATCGCAAGCAGGAAATGGAAGCTTTGATTTTTTGGAAAGGCTAACACACACATAGACGTCTTCATATTTCCTCCGATGCTTCGTGTTCATGGTCTTCTTTTTGATTACGTAATTCCAGGCGAGCAGTATAAATAAAGAAAAATAGCACTGCTCTGGGGCAGTTATGATGCCGAACATTTTGAGCAGATTACATGAACTTGTAATCTCACGTACGAAATTTTCGGAGTATTCAGCTGCTTCTTTCGTCGAATTCGGGGCAACATAACAATGACCCACCAGATACTGTACATTTCAACTAGAGTGAAAAGCTCTTTCCAGAATAGAAGCGGTTACCCAAACTGAGTGAACACTGAATTGATGAAACAGTATATAGGTCTTCAAAACCACGGAATGGCGTTCCCGTTTGTGTGCACCTTCTCTGTGAATAAACTTTCCTAGACGGTTCATTTCTAACCGACGCTAAAGGTAGTTAAATGGCGCTTGGACGCCACGTTCTGTCGTTTAAATATTGCGGCTTAGCATTATTGTTAATTTTCATAGAAGGAACATGAATTTTGACTGCACTAAGCACTAGCTATTTTTACTGTAGAAGCAAAGCGGATAGCTAGATTACGGTATCATACAAGCTAAAATATATGTTTACACTTCTTCGGTTGTAACGTTTATAGGATTTCCCACAGCGTTAAGCAACGGGGTTTGTATGGTGTATGTGTTGTTACCAGGCTATAAGCCTTCTTATTTCAGCATTATACTTTACTGAGAGTCAGGCTGGATTGTCGAATCAACTAGATTTTATGTACCCGAGTAGGAATATTTGCGTATTTTACACCATTATTGCGAATAGAGGAATTACTGAAATTAGAGGATAGAGCAAATAAAGTGTTCAAGGTATACTTCATAAAAGTATCTATCAAGCAAACCTTCGTACATCATGCCTATGATAATATTTGAGTCAATGTGTAATGAGACAGGAACAGAAGGTTGGAATTTCGATGAGAAGCATATAAGATAACGACTCCAAGGGTAAATCGTGTGGAAGAAACACATTGCACCTTCAGTAGAGCACAATATAGTAGGTGCAAATGCTCGTTTAGAAATTTATGAGGTTATATAGCACAAGTGTCTACATGTTGTTGGGCAATAACTTCATCACGGACCACACTAGACATTCCGCTGCATTTCACAATAAGTTTTAACAACCGTACAAATCATGTGTAAAGATTTAAGAATGAAGCTGCATGAATTAGTGGAATACAGTAAAGTCAGCGAGGTTGTATATACGTCGCTGCAAATGTAAAAGTCAAATGGCGCGGAACCGAAAGCATTTTACCTTTGATAATACTTTTATCCCAATAGCTCATAAGTTACGTAGCATATCGTAGTACGTAATAGCGCCAGAAGCGTTTCGCCTTATTGGGGCTCGTCAGATGTGCTCATTCCTCGATCCTCTTAGGAGGATAGAACCTATGACCGCTGGAGACAGATGCCAACTAGCCAGAAGCTTAAGCCACTGAGCCATGGGGAATGTTGGCTGGCCTACATAATTTGCAAACTAAACGGGATATAGCACCACCTATCTACCACTGTCAATGAGAGTGGTTAGCCTGCGAGATGATGACGTCCTCTAATTAGACACCGTGTCCATAGCATTTGAAACAAGCTGAGGCTATTTTATTTTATATTACTCACGAGTAGCAGGATTTCAGTTGTATTATTGATAAGGCTTTCATCCCGATAGTTCACGTCCAGAAGAGCGACAGACGCGTTTCAACGTATTGGGGATCTTCAGTGGCGCATTCCCTCGGTCCTCTAAGGAGGATCGAACCAATGACAACTAGAGGCAGATGCTAACTAGCCAGCAGCTTAAGCCACTGAGTCATGGGGGATTTTGGTTGGCCTACATAATTTGCAAACTAACTGGGATATAGCACCACCAAAGACATACACAGATACCCATCTAACCTTGTGAAACCGGTCAGAGACATGAGTAGATCAAAGTAGGTTCCGGGATAAAAAGACCCCGGATATTTGACAGTTGATCTTTCACTGCCGGCAAAGCATTGGCATTATAGACAGTTGTAGCTTAGAATATCGAAGAAAGTTAATGTTGTACAACAAAATTCATTCAGGCTCTGTGTGAGAGACCGGGACAACGACCACAGCACAAACTCGTCCATATCGGTCTGAAGAGTACATTTCTAATATTTAGGAGCCATACTTCGCATAACGACATCATCGACATGCCTGCATTAAATATAGTTAAATGTATGGGAATATTACTGTACGTAATAATTAGTGCCATAGAGAGTATCACTCTACGTAGAAGGCTACGATCGGGGCACAGGGTAGTGTACAGCAATTCAGTTAAGCTGTGTTGATCAAATGGTCATTAATCACGCTGTAGACGTTTGTACGAACCATGATGGTGATCAACTCGTTGAGCAGAATTGAAGCGTTAACTTCCCGGAAGGCTTTGGTATGGTTCGCCGACTGGATGGGTACGGCTTCACATTCTTATGTAGTAAAGATGATATCGGAAGTAAAAGATACCACATGGCAACCATTATAGAGCATTTGGGCACCTAGGCAAATTGGCGTAAATCGTCTGCTGGTCGAGAGTGGAAATCTGAGATACAAATAGTTTCTGGAAGACGTTCCACATCAACGGCAGACTTGCAGTCGAAGTGTGTCGACTATAACTCAACGGCTGAAGTGGGCAGTGAGTGTGCTGAGAAGGCTGGCAAAAGGTCATCCGTACTCCCGACCGATTAAGGCGCATTCCAAAGGGCTGCACTACCCCTTTTCTATTTGCGCCCTAAGCTGAATGTGCAGTTTCATCGGACGTTAATCTGCTGAAAATGTCGTCCAAATCGCATAGCACATTAATTGAAAATGCTTTCGAAATCCAAAGAGGGTTCAATGATTTCATGAGATTGGCGTGCTCCACGTCTCCCTTCCTTTATTTTTCCAATAATTTTGACGCCAGTTACTCCTTTTTCCTTGCTGGTGGACTGTTCGGTTCTCAATACAGTATCCCATTTGGTTTAGAGTGATCAAGGCATTTTTCGTTCACCTGCCTTTTTCACGCCTTACATTTGATTCTGGTCTCCGTATACTCTCTAGCTACAATTTAAATTATTCCAAGGTTCGTTAATATGCCTGTGCTATATCACAGTCAACAAGTATCTTGTCCTTTTTACACGGATTCCTCGCAAGTACTCTAACCTACTTTTAGCTCAGCAAACGTTCATACAGTGTAGAAATAACAAAGAAAACACCGTAGAATTTATCGTTACTTTTTCCATATGTCTCAGCTATGCCTCAAGGATTTCAAACGACCTAAGTCACCTCCTGCATATTGCTCTTTGGTTATACATTATCTAAATAGTACAAGCAGTTGTTAACTGATGTTGTGTACTTTCAAAGTTTGTTGCATCACAATTTCATCATGCCAATTCTGCCACATAGCTTAATCAACGCAAATGCCATGGTGCGCCAACTGGCAGACAATTTGCTTTGGCAAATCTTCGGATTTTTCTTTTAACATGTAAAGTTTCATTGACCTTGTTTTATAGTAGATCGGCAATGTTAATTTAAATTGCGAAACTTGACCACTCGTGGTGTTTAAAAGTTTTACTAACTTGACTAAACTTTCCAACCAAGGAACTCAGCGAGATTATGCAGATAGGAAATTGAATTATTCGTTGCTTGATGTTGCTCCCACAAGAAGTTGCACGAGAATTGTGAAATCATGCATTGTAATTTAATCAATATTTCTAGTATTGGAATTACAGAGTGAAAAATTAGTGTGTCTTAAAGCTCCATCTCATGTAGGACACTAGTTAATTAAATAAAAAGACTCTCTATGTTTGCAATACAAGACAAGTTTACAAAAGCGTGATCTGTTCATAACTTGGTCGGAAAATGAAGAATAATTTCGGATACGGACTGCTGTGTGTACACCTGGGACATAATGTGGTAGAATGGAGTAAATAGTTTCAATGAATGAGGACAGGGGTCAGAAGATTGGAAAAGGATCAGGTTTGTAGACTTTACTGATCCATAAGAGGAACACGGAAAATTTGGGAAGCCGTTTATGGCAAGGAATATCATGTTCTGAAGTGATCGCACTGATCAGACAAATATTGGTCTGAGGAATAAAGTTTGCTTTCGCAGTTTTACTCCACAACTTAATGTCGCGAAAATCTCGTGAAGAATTAACATAACATAAAAACACAAAACCCATATCGGAAAACGACCAAGCGTTTTAATGGTACATGACGAAATGAGGCGGCTTTTACATTTCCTTGGTTCACATCTCTATTATTTCAGTTTCTGGAATGAGTAAGTTATCTTGTTTACAGCTTTGCGAATAAAACTGAATACAACTTATCCAAAGTAAATGGTTTTCTCATTATGCCACATTGTTGTCAGCATACTTGACAAGCAGTTTTAGCATATTGACCTGACTATGGCAGAAGTGATTTTATTTTCCGCTAAGTATTTATATGGGAGTTTGTTAAACGCCTTTGACAGAATGGCATGGATATTTCGATGAATTCATTCAATGACGAAGCAGGCACCATGTAGTTAACGAGCGCGGTGAAAATTAATTCTTTGAGTAAACCGCACATTTTATCTCATAGGTGACATTATAACTGCGCTTTACCCAACCAGCTGAAAGCTTTTGAAATACCTTTTCTAGAGATAACATTTCAAATTCTTAATAACCCACGCCTAACTCAGAATAATATCGATGGGTATCGGTTATGGGCACAGCAGATGCAGTTTCCATATTTTAAATGGAATCGCTCAAACATATATGATTTACTGACACATTAACATAAGGAAATGACGATCAACCGTTCCTTTCTGTCAAATTTTATGCATTACACCATCGCTTAGCCAATAGACTCAAGGACCACATGGACCATCCTGTAATAATTACTTTCAGCTTATCTTTTGTCAAAACCGGAAACGTAAAGCTTATGGTGCCCTGTCCACTGAGCAGACAGAAAACACTTTGCGTTTGGTTACTTAAGTTAAGGACGATGTTGGGAATAGAGCTTCTGTGTTTCATATTGGGATTAAAACTAACCTTGCCGGGATAAGTTAGCTGACTCATAATTATAAATGTTCAGTCATGACTAATCCGGTTTTCTGTTTATGAACATATTATGCCAACAAACTATCAACGCTAGCGAGAAAAGTCCGGTGATATTTTTTACCTTATACGGCACTTCTCTTGTCTGTGATTGTGATGCAATTACTGGATTTTAGCTAAGTACATTCACCATGGAATTTCTGAAGCATTATTCATCTTTCCACAGATGCATCAACTCCGCTAACTCAAGGTTAGTTAACCCAAGTTTACAATGCACTGTGCAACAGGGTTTACAAAACAACGTTAACTCCCTATCCGGTCATAGGTGATGGCGACTGTCGAGGTACCAATATCTATATTCGTTTCCATAGCGCCACTAGACCAAAAGCTTTCCTATTATATTTCAACTTAGAACAATATATTCCATGTCCTCAAGCTCAGTCTAATTTGCGAGTATAATAGGTCAATTCTTGTGTCAGGTATCCCCTCTAATTTTCATCAGTACGTCAGCAACAAACATAATAGATACGTCTGTGTTTGCTGTGATGGCCTCAGGTTGCAAATAAGTGACAATCCCGTTTGTGACTTACTCTGCAAATCTTGTACGCTTTAGCTACTTCCAATGTGATTTTTTAAACCGTGAAATTAATCTATCATCTGTTCTATCATACTATCATTTTATCAGCATCATTATTCTATCATCTCAGCTTGAACACGTTCGTGTAGATTATTCACACTTGGTTACACCATGCGTAATACTAACCATAGCGTGAGCTACGTCTATTCAACCTAACCATCAAAAGCAACCAATTAACCAATATATTGCTTTCCCGTCATTCTTGTTAGCCTGTGAATATGAGACATCTTGTATCGTTTGGTTGATGAAATTAGATTTAATTTTTCCTTTGGATCACCTGAGCAACTGACACTTGTCGACTCAGTGGTCTTGATTGATCAAATTGGATTCAATCTTCTTGTTAGTTATCAGTTAACTCCGCTGAGGATTACGCTAAGTTACATACGGTTCCTACCACCGATTCAAATTCAGGATCGTCAAAATAACGTTTGAAGTCATTTGGAATTTTCTAAGAGAATCTGGTAGCAATAACAGGTGGAAATCAACACTTCCTTAAGTAAATTCGCTCGCATACTTTACCTCATACTAATCTTGAAATGTACGAGGGCGCAATAGTAACAACGCTTAAAATTATGTCTACTGTTGCAGTTCCCTGCGGAGAAGATTTCAATAGGCCAAAGTTTCGTTTCTCGGCCCGGTTTCAAGCAGCATATCCACAAGTCTGTGTTTGGCGGATCACGGTAACACCAGGAAGAAAAGTGCAGCTCTTTTTCGATACTCTAAGTGTAAGTTGGTTTCGTTGGATATGTGGCATTTCAATTGTACAAAACCTCTATTCGGTTACCTGTGGGAAACTATCAGACCTGCGAGCTCATAAACCCACCTGTAACTGCAACTGCCTTTCCGTCCAGTAAAAAGACGGCTACCTTGCTATGACGTTACTGCGACCGTCAACATAGACAACATTTCAGTTATTTTCCCATAAGTCCATTTAAATGTGCAGTAATGCATGATGGGAACAAATCAACCGTACAAAACGCAGGATGACACTACATATACAAGTGAAAATAAGAGCGTTTCAGCGTGGAAATAAAACTATTAGCTGTCTGGACCTTGCACATTATTGTGGAACGTTTATCATCTAGTTAAATGTCTAGTATTCCCGAAGATGGTTACATTGGTTGTGTTCACCACATAGGTGAAAAACGGTACAACGAGAGCTTCCATATTTTCTCTGCGCCAATATGGCGTGTTTCGTTATTTGCCTCAGGGGTGGCCTTGGAATTATTAAAAGGGGCTAGGGACAGCACTGAATTACGTGGGTGATTTCTCTCAGTTACTTTTTTATGCCAGAATGCGGTCACCACGAATTCTTAAGCATTTTGTGGAGAAAATAGCAACTTAAACTTGGTGTAGTTTGTAAGAGATAATGGGTAACCTACTTTTGTCCTTGGTGCCTAGTGTTTGATGCTGCTTCAAGACACGAGTGTATTGTTTTAGCCATTACCGTCAAATACCATTTTTATATTTAAAGAAGTAAACGAATACACTAGTTAAGCATTAAGGAAACTTGTCGCAGGACAGTTCTGCTGGATGTACTCCACAACTGTCACGGTTTCTAGATCGGATGCTTTTGAAGATCGGAGCTAATTTCTACGTCATTCTTGTGCGATGACGTTTAAGTCACTGGCAATGCATACTGGTTTCATGATATGTTTCTCAGTAGGTACGTGTTGATGCAGCGGCGACGAACGGTCAGCAGTTGGCTCTTTGGGGATTTTGTTCGGAGCTTGTGCGTTGATTATTAACCACATTAGCATAATTCAAATGATCATATTCTGTGACAGAACAGGTCGCTACTACCAGGTAGAAGGTCGAATTTGACTGACTCCTCTAACAACTGTGCGTTAGTCATAATTAAGTCCAACTGTGATGGCTTATTGGAACCGCGGTGTTTGGTTGGTTGATGCACATCATTATGCAAAATTTTTCTTAGTAATCAATTCAATCGGTTTTTATTTGACTGATCACTCACAAGGGAGTGCCAATACTACTGGTAATATTTGAAGCTGCGCAGGTATAAGAAAATAAGGATACTTTTCGGTAGTGGCATATTAGACAGCGTGGGACGGAAATTCATCACTCCGTGCGCAAGTGTTATGGGGAATGTAGACTCTTCATCTTCTAAAATATACCATTTCTGCCTACTAGCTGCAGCCGACAAAATACTGCATCGGAAATAAAAAGGGTTTTTTTGCTATAGACCTCACTTTTAGCTACGCTGGGTAGCAGATACCGAGAGATTGCCGAGAATTCCAACAGAGTGTGTTTAACTACCGTATCCAATTTGGCATTTGAAATCCACATCACATGCCTTTCTATGACTACCCAATAATTTGATTCAAGTCAGTGGCATAGATTTGGAAGCTTAGAGAAGTGCCTTGTAGCGTTGACATAGCAGCAGTATAATTGCTGACATAGTAAGAACTGGTTTCACAATGACCGGCGCCATTTTGGGTACCGCTGCATGCCCGGTTGGCTGATCTGACGTAGGAAAAAGCGAATCTGCCTCCTCAGAGAGTAAGGTCGTTGATATTTTAAAGAATGAATTTAACCTTAATCTGGTGGTCCACGTCTGCTGTTGTTGTGTTACGTTTGTAACTCTAATACTACCACCTCGGGCATAGCCGAGGTAACTCGCCAAATTTTAGACCTCTGCCGGGTTAGTGTTTGCAGGCAACTAGACGGTTGACGTAGTGGACCACACCTTTTTGCTTGGCAAAGAACTTTGTGGTGTGCTTCCATTATTCACTCCCATGCGTTCAGTTTCCTATTGTCGGCTCGCTTCAACTCTGGTACACGATGAACTGTTTTCAGCTTCTTCTTCACTTTCTTCTTAGTTTGATGTGGCGCACGCGGATCAAGTTTAATCCTCTGGCTTTCTGACTATGGTTTGCTTGGAAAAATGCGAGGGCTAACATAAACCCTCACTAAATTGAGGCTTGATAGGAGAATTTCATTCAGGTTGCATGTGTCGATCAATGTTTCTGGCATTAATAGAGATTCTGCCACTTGCGTGAATGATGGATTCCGCGAAAGGTTCGTATGACTATTTAGGAGGACGGCTATAACGCGCTGGCAGCTAATCATAAACCAATGGTTTCGCTCCTCGGATTGTCCTCTATTTAAAAACTTGCTAATGAGTTCCGAGACCTTTGGACATATCAAATTTACGGCCTTTCAGTTGCGCAGTAAAGTCTTTTATGTATATGTGTTTCGTGGTATGTATTGTGGAAAGAGGTGAAGTCGTACGCAAGACTGTTTACGTGCAGCAGTGTTATTCGTCCTATCACCAGTGGTTAAGTTTTGTTGCCTTTCGAATAACGGACGTGTTACTTTAACTACCGTACTACTCTTATTGCCATGCAACATTTCCTAAAGCCTTGAAAACCGTTCAACTTCCTGCAGTCATGGCTGCTTTTTCCTAGTGTGCTCCGTTTTTCGTCAGGCTGTGGTATTCAAGGTTGTGTATTTCACTATTTTTTCCACATTATGGTTAAGGATACCTAATGAACTACTCAGGTAATCGAGTTCAGCGATTTTCACCCACCTACCATGGCATGTTCCTTTTGCTCGGTTGATGAAGCACCACCTTTATTAGGTTTTGAGCAATCTTAATCATAGCTCTGTCGGAATAAACATCACAAGACTACCAAAGAGTTATCAGTACGCTGCTCTATCCGCTTAATTTTACGATTGTTACATAATAGGAATTAGCAGCTTGCGACCACGTGATCCCGTGATTGCCTCTTTTGAACTTAGGCTTGTTGTACACATGTTTACCGGGCAACAAACTTCTCCTGACCATTGGCCAAGGCTCATATGCACTCTGGTTATACCAATTTTTACCATGTTATTGTTTACCCCAGACAGCTGTGATTGCCGTTATCCCGGCGGGTTTGTTAGTTATGCGTCACTTATAGCACCGGTGGATCAAATCACACGAACCTATGCAGAAACACGGATGAATTATCGCTGTGTTAGACGCAGGGCGACAAAGCAACCAGCAGCTACGCTATATGACGTCGCACAGTTGTATATGATACATCGTCTAATAATCTTGAAAGAACTCTGTCAAAGCGAATCACTACCTCACTGGAGTAACTTAAAACGGAAATTTACACGCGCGAGTCTAAAGGAATGAATTGTCGAAGACGTCATTTGCATGCTGCATGTCGTTTTACCTGAAACAAAAATATAGGTCCCATTGAATATAGCACTGCCATCCGTGTCCATTGAGCATGGCTCCGAAGACCTGAGACAAAAATAGGTGAAGAAGTCCAGTTAAGGTCAGAACGATGATCTACGGTCTGCACGCTAGTGTTTCGCCCCAAATTGAACAAGTTACGTCTGTCACAATGGTTGAATACCTTTACGGAACTTGCAGCTAGTGATGAGTCCAGTGTTGCATCTGATTTATGTCACTTGCATTAAATGACACTGTTTGCCCGCCTTCTATAGAACAATCACAATATCATTCTCCACAGTTTTCTTCCTCCAGATCTCGCTTGCGTGTGTTAGACGGAACCACCTGTGGAGGTACAATCTTGTCAGAGTTTTCACAATATTCCGGCATTCCTCAAAACGGCATTATCTCCAATAGCAATACGATGATGTTGGTGTACACAGATCCAGTTATTGAAAGTTTGTCGACAAGTATCGATTTCTCTTTTTCTGAGAGTAAGTGTATTTTAATTCACCTGCATTGTGTAGACTGCTTACCATTCTATTTGCTTCATTTTCATCTGTCGCAATTTTCCATTCGAAGATGTCAATTTAATTGCGCGATAAACATTGAGCGTCCTGCTCACATTATATGAGTTGGTTTTCAGCCAATCTGCGATATCAGTCGGTAGATGGAGTGTTTCATTCCTTGCAATGGCTCATACCATACCACTAGCTTTTGTGAATATTTGAACATTCAGTTTTTATACACAAATTCAGTGGTTAATTATGCATATAACATTAGAAGCTTAACATATCTGCATGTGAGATTGGATTGGTTTTCCAGACAGAAACGCGAAATCAGTCTAAGTGATTATCAGAATTTAACAACAATTTTGCCAGTGAAATTTTTGTCTACCTGCTTGCTGTCCATGGCTCATTGCTCGTTAAAAAAATATAAAGACTTTAATTTTTCGAGAAAGATATTGCGTGGAGTTGTGTGTCTCGTTTTCTTGACGTTCATATGTGCCATGTTTGTTATTTAATGCGATACGATACGAACACCGCACTTTCAAAACTAAACACAGCTAAAATAATGGCTACGAAATTAATATAGTAGTGGAGGCAAGGTGAGCCAAACGCATAGGTAGACAAGATTTTTTATCGATCTTGCAAGCAGCCGTATTTTTATCCAATCGTTGATTTTCTCACCGAAGGTTCTTGTTACGGCGGGAATTTAACAGCTGATACCAAGCATGATTATGGAAGATTAGTATCCGTTAATCAACTACCAGGTCACCAAGCAAATTTTGATGGCATCCACCAAAATCTCTTGGCACAATAAGTTCATGTGCGTAAAGCAAATGGTTCAAATCTTTGACGTGTTTGAACCGTGGACGGTGAAATCATGCCTCTGTCACGGCTGCCATATCTGAACCTCATATTTTTCACACCAATGTTTTCATAGAGCGAAATATTTATGGGCTGGAAATAAATGTACCCAAGAGATCAGAAACATTCTGTAAGAGCACAATAATCTGGTGCCATTTTTGCTTAGCTTTAGGGTTGGTGATAGCACCTGTGTTTCTCGTGAACATGCAGAGTGACCCGTTTCACGGGTACAATGTTGAAGATTTTCGTTGCCCAGCTTACAAGTGGAAGACAAATGGAGTCCTAAATGCTGACCTCAATTTATAATTATGTGGAGATGAAGACAATCCTGGACGCACGATTCGCAAGCCACAAATCCACAATCCCAATCCCATTGTCTTGTTGTTGCACGCAACTATCGAACTTTGGTCGCTTGTCAAAGTTCAGTATGTCCAGCGCAAACTAAATAGTCTAAGGCTCACTCATTGGAATCAAGTTAGATGGGTCTGACGCGTATTCACACACCCTTATATCAAGAAGCTTGTTCAAGGTCAATTTTGTAATTCTCCTCAGTAGGAGATCATTAGTGAGGTATCACTGAAGCAGTGGTTCAACCTGTCGCATAGCCTAAAGAATTCACCATATATATTAGGTACACCCACACTAATATTTGCTGCCGTGGTTCACCTATCTCATGCTAGCAGTAGTTTGGTAATGTACAATCGATTAGGGAAGAATCCGTGTTGTTCCTGTGTTATGTACATAACTTTCTACGTATAATAGAAGTGCGCCAAAGCAGGTTGTGTAGGAAGCGAAAGAAGTAGCGCTAGTATGAATTCAAGCAGCTAGTATATTTATATCGATACATAATAATGAAACTACAGCTCTCAGTGTTTACTTTGTCCTATATTATCCATAAAGTTTCGTGACAATAGAAGGGACTAGTGTGCAACTTGTTCCACGAATCTCTTGCCAGACAGCTACTGCCGAATTTGTTTTAGAAATAAAGAAGGGTATGCATTTACCTTTTAATGGATGAGTAACAAAGTTCTCTTAAGTTCTCTTAAGTTCTCTTAAGCTGAGGCCCCTGCGTCGCCAAGGTACAGATTAGTATCATTCATTCGGATTTTTTCCGTAGAAAATTATTCCGTTCACTTTGCAAATCACCTCCCTGTTCAAACTGGATTTACATCCGTGGTTGTAGAGTCAGACACATCAGCAAGGTGTCTGCGCAAGGAAACTCACGGAACCAGCTGAGTGCTTTCTGGCATGGTATAACTTTTACCAAATTTGGACCCCTTTACATTAATGTGTTGAGGTGAGCGGCGATCGCTGATAAACATTGATTGATCAAAACTAATATCAAGTTAATCCGGTTAAACTAAATAAATGTTTATGACTTGAAGTTACTCTACAAGACTTCAAATGCGTCTTCTTATTGGGTTCATTTGAATGTCAAACCACAAAAATAATAAATGCTAAGTAGACCAATTATTTCACTATAAGAGACAGAACGATAGTTGGAAAGTGAATCCCACTGTTTTGATACTTTTACCGGGTTATTCTTGCGCCTGCACCTTGTATTCCAATGCAAGCTATCCGTCAAGGATGAGGTTCAACTTTTGCGGGATCAGTTTACATAATACATTCCACATAATGTGCAAAAGCGACGCAGTGGTATTAGGCAGTGCTATGTTTATTGTGTGGTAATCTTACAGGCCATGTCAAGATGAGGGCAGATTTTGCCGACTGATCTCTAATTTCTCTAACCGCCAGTAGCCAGGACTTACTCGGACGTGCTAAAACACTATGGGCCACCAAACTTGTCTAAGAGGACATCGTTTATGGAGGGACGCATAACGTACTCTTAGGTCTGTCGCTTGAGATGTCTGTAGTCTACATACAACCATCCACTCTCATCTTTTTTCATGGGACAAATAGGTAATGTCCATGATTAGGTGGGTAGTTGGAATGTAGTTTTCTCATGGGTACGATCGAGCAACCATTCTTCTCCGTCTTTGCTGTTGGGCTGAAATTAATCTAGCTAAACATCTCACCGGTTTTACTTCGCCGGAAGCGATGGCATGTTTCGGCAAATGGATGTACAAAATCTGTAAGAGATTTCCTTGATGCATGACACTCCACAACTAATCCAATTAACCGGCATATTTAAATGGAAGCTGGAAATGCAAAACTACGGTCGAGGCACCGTCCCCCAAAGGATTAAATCCAGTTGGTCAGCAAACCAGACAAACGGAACGGATGAGACATTTGAGCACTGGCGTAAGCAGGCAGCCACAAACACAAGTCGGAGTGTTCAACGTCAAACGACAACTATGTGTTCAACATGCTTAGCACGATCAGATGTGCCAGCCAAATGGCTTGCTTATCTCCCCGACCAAACATGAGAATATATCGGATCTCGCGAGCACTCTCATCAGGGCTTCCCGAAGCAACGCTACTGGTTACACGCTAATCAGTAACGAACTGAAGATGTCATATCGATTGATAAGGGAACGTTTGCAACAGCCTGCTAAGCTCAGCGGGCATTTCAGCACATACTAAAGGAAACTGAGTTGCCAATTTTTGTACCTATTCCGTTTCACCACTGCTATGTTAGAGAAAACACATGGAAAGTTTAACCAAAGTGTTTCTATGGCAGCAGTAATCAATAGCACAATACAAAACAATTAGCTGCTAGTGGAAGGCAGCAAGTAAGAGAGGTATGAACTTTACCTAGGCAAAATACCAAGCACGCTTCCCGTTTTTGCCTTCAACGGTCCCAGTGACATTCCTAAAATGCATGATAATTCTCACATCGAATGAGCTAATCCATGGATAAAGACGCTGATGGAGAAGGAGTGCCGGAGATCAGACTTAGTTTCAAAAGAGGAATATGGTGGTTTATTCAGTATGCAAGTCTCGATTTATAGCGAAGTTGATGCAAAGACTCATTACGAGCGACAGTAGGGATAGCTATGAGAAAATAATATTTGCGAGCATAAAGTGCTCAAAATATAATAGGTTACCTTAAAATTAAATAGCGGAGGCTTGAGAAAAAGGAAAGCAAATACGAGCGCTTAAGTGGCTGAAGGGCACACCTAGGTAAAATCTGTACAGTTGACATCAAGTGCGAATTGTCTACTTAAGCAAAAGAAGTTATGATAAATGTTAATACAGGTGTTTTGGTTACGCGCATGCTTACGTACTGGATGTACATCTACTAACCTGAATCCATAGATAGCAGTGATGAATTGGTTTGCTGTTTCATAAAAAGCTTTAAAATAAACCCTTTGCATGTATTCGCTTACATAACGTCAGTTTGATTACGTTGCATTTGTACAAGCTCCATTGTTTTGAGTTGTAACAAATCATTTCATGTGTTGTGTGTGCCTAATCCCTAATGATACGACACGCGTTACTATGGGAGGGAATAAACACCCAATAAATTGCCAGTGCACTTATTTAGCAAATCACTTTGTCTCACCCCCAGTGGATGATAATATTGCATGATTCCGATGAAACAGCAGACGCAAGCCATCCTAATTTAGCGAATATGTTACCCAATGCAACGGCACAAATGACTATATCTGGAAACTGTCACTTACTTAGGCGGTTTATCCACTCATAAGGTGCAAACATTCAGCTCGAAGCACATATGCCTACGCCGTTGTTGATGAACAGGTGCGGATAACTCTGGCCTTTGACAGTGCCGTCGCATATCACCAACATCCATTAATTTAGCTGTCAGATGTATAGGTAGGTGATAGTTCATCACGTTCAATTCTTCGTCAGCCGGCTATGGCTTGTCTGGAACTACACCAGATTCCGGCGTTTCGACCTTTTGGGTCTCAGCGGTAGTGCGCCTTCTAGCGGACCCCTGCTGGTTTCCACCAGGTTGACTTCCGGATACCAGCAGCACGTGTAACTTCGCAATGGGTGACAGCCGCGGACTTGAATGATTGACAAATGACTGTGATATAGACCGGCTTACATTCAACTTCAATGCCAGAACCGAACTGGCGTGTGAGGCTTACGGTTGCCTTCTGCACATTTCGATAATTGTACGGCAGTTGAAGACGAGCAGGGCTATATCACAGTCCATCGTCAATTACTTAGCTTAACGGCCGTCGCCCATGGCAGAGTGTCACTAGCTACTGGCATCCGGAAGTCGAGGGGGTTGGGATCAGGCAATGTTCCACTGGAAGGCGCACAACTGACATTACCCAGATGTTCAAAATACCAGCGACTGACGTATTTCCAGTCTAGCCAAAGCCTGAGGACT